GGGGGGGGGGGGGTTGGCCCTTTGTCTGAGCACAGTGTGATCCCTGGGCCGTACTTACCTCAGGTCAGTGAGGACAGACAGCCCCGAGGGGGAGCCACGCGAGGTGGGACATTGACACTGTGTGCAGCAGGGGGCACTGTGACGCACCCACGCGTGGGTCAGGCACCCCCGTCCCAACCACCAGAGGGCAGCGTCCCGCACAAAGTCCCCAGCTGGTGGGGTGAACAATGTCCCTCACGTCTCAGAGGGGACGGTCCTGTGGGTCTGTAACTTCAAAAACCGCGAGGAGTCCGGTGGCACCTGCGAGACTCACAAATATGCCACAGGACGACGTGTCGTTTCTAAAGTCACTCAAGGGGTTTTAAAGTTGCCAGGGTCCCCCACCGGCCGGGGGAAGTGAGCAAAGGCCCTGCAGGGAATGAGGAGCGCGGAGGGGGGGTGTTTCATTGAGGCTGCCTCTGCCAAGTGGGGAACGCACCCCGCCCCGAGAGCCTGGGGGGTTTCATGCTGCAACCAGCCTGGGTTGGGCTATTTACTGAGCGACTCTTCCCAGAGCTCTTTGGAGACGCACGCAACCCAGGTGCAAAGGGCTCTTCTCAGGATGGCTGTGCAGCGGGGCAGCGCTGCAAGGGATGATGGGAGAGCAGAAGGTGCTGCTGGTGGCCCGGAGGGGATTTCAGCTCAGGCAGAGACCATAGGCCAGCTTGGAGGAGCAGCCGTGTAGCACGGGCAGCCCAGTGGGATGGGCTAGCCACCTGAGCAAGTGCCTGGGGAGGGGCACATTCAGGGGTGCTAGCCTGTAGCTCAGCAGCTGTCAACCAGGGTGCACCTAGCCGGGGGGCACACAGAGGGAGGCACCTCAACTCCTCTAGCTATTTGCCTACTTTTACAGCTGTCAATACACACAAACGTTTCCTACAGTGGCTTGTTTATGATGCTCTATGTACTATCCTCAGAAGTCTAAGTACAATATTTACACTGCAGTCTGTTTTGCTGATAATTACTGGGTGGTAACGAGGAGAAAGTCAGCACTTTTCCAGTCCCGGTGTGGCCCAGGCACTTTGGTACTCTTACGTCTGATTTTGCCACCCACTGGTTTTTAAGTGAGGTGAGATTTGGGGTATGCAGGACAAATCGAAGGGGGACAGCGAGCTGCAATGCTGGAGACTCACTGCTGTAGTGCATTAGCTCTAGCAAATCTATCCCAGGTGCACCCACCTGAGGCGGAAACCACAGCATCAGCCCCAGGGTACATCTATCCTAAGAGGTTTCTCTCTGGGGCTATGTCTAGACTGTAGGCTTCTTGTACAAGAGTGTGTCCACACTGCAAAAGTGCATCGGAAAAGCGATGCACTTTTGCACAAGAGAGCGTCCAGACTGCATGGGTGCTCTCTCGCAAGAAAGCCCTGATTACTATTAACAGAATGGCCACCAGGGCACCTGTGCTTCTTTCAATAGGCTGTTTTTGAGCAAAACCCCCATTTCCCGTCCACACGCACCTTTTTGCGCAGGAGCTCTTGTGCAAAAAGAGTTATTCCTCATAGAAAGAGGAATACCTACACCGTAAAAACCCCCTCTGTTCTGTTGATTCACTGTCAATTTTCGTGTGCAAAAAACACACTTGAGGTGTGGACGTACCACGAGTTTTTGCGCAAAAACTTTGCAGTCTAGACGTAAACTGGCTACATTTGATCAGTGCCCCCTACAGGAAGTGCTCGGACTTATGGAGCAGGAGGAGTTTTGTGCCGCACTAAGCGCTGGACAACACAGGTGTAAAATGACCAGTATAACAACACGGCTAGCGAGGGCTAATGATTCAGCTAGTGATTCAACATGGCTAGCGATTCAGCTTTAGGTCGGCTTCTTAACCCGCCTGGTGTGAACGCTGCTCTGGAACAAGACTGATTGTCCTCCAGCGTAATCACCCCACTCCACAACAAATTCACTTTTATGTGGGCATCAAGTGTCCACACCGGACGGTTATTCCAGCACAGCTATTGTTATTATTTATTAGCTCTATTACCAGAGCGCCTAGCAGCCCCATCCAGGGACCAGGCCCCATTGTGCTAGAGGCTGTGCAAATGCAGACCATTCCTGCCCCATGGAGCTCACAGGCTAGAGCCCAGGAGTTATTTCACATCAGCCAATTTCCCAAAGTAGATGAGCTCTAAATCATTAGCCCAGGTGCCATGGTGGGTGAGGTGGGTATAGAACCATAAGAACATAGGAACAGCCATATTGAGTCAGACCAAAAGTCCATCTAGCCCACTATCTTGTCTGCCGACAGTGGCTACTACTAGATACCCTAGAAGTAGTAAACAGAACAGGTAATCATCAAGTGATCCCTCTCCTGTCATCCTTTTCAAAACTTTGACAAACAGAGGCTAGGGACACCATTTCTACCCATCCTGGCTAATAAGTATTGAATTTGTCCTCCATGAATTTATCCAGTTCTTTTTTGAACCCTGGTAAAGTCCCGCTCTTCACAACATCCTCTGGCAAGGAGTTCCACAGGTTGACTGTGAGCTACGTGAAGAAAAACTTCCTTCTGTTTGTTTTAAACCTGCTACCCATTAATTTCATTTGGTGACCTCTCAGTCACTGGCGTTCCCACCCTCCCCCAGATGCTGCGTTGGGAAGGTTCTGGGTAGAACTTCTGGTCAGGCCAGAGTCTTTTTTTGCCCAGCTAGTTTGCTCAGGGACCTGTCACGGGCTGTGGAGGTCTGAAGGGGTCCCTTGGCAGAGCCTACCTGGCATTAGAGAAAAGAGAAGGAACTGGATAGTCCCTTGCCCAGCCATGGCCCTGCAGCCTCTGCCGGCGTATCCAGCGCAGCAGTGAAGAGAGAAGATCCCGGGTGGAGAGCGTGTGGGTGGTGAGAGCTCCTAGACAGGGCAGCAGCGCGGCTCGGGGCTGCTTTTATCTGCTGGGGTTGGGTGTTCCTCCCTGCGAGGAGGATGCCTTTGGGGTGAGTGAGCAGCTCCACGCCATGAGTGTGAGTAGCACCCGCTCCCTGCTGTGCTTACCTGGTAATTAACACCGGCTTGCTTGGCTGCTGAGGGCTTTCCTGCCAGCCGGGCCGGTCGCCCGGCCTCCCTCCAGCACGGAGAGGCCGGATGGGTGGCTCTGTGGGCTCAGGGCTTGGGCGGGAGGCGGGCGACAGCCAGTCTCAGGGCTCTTAATGGGGCCTCGACTTACCCGCTGAGTTTACACCTAGTTTCCACCCGCCGCAACCGGCACCTGGGACTGGGGAGCAGGGGGATGCCTTGTTGCCGTGTGTGGTGTGTGGAGTTGCCATGCTGTGCCCCTCCCCCTGCACCGTAGCTACCGGGGCATAGACACAAGCCAACACCAGGCAGTTGCTCGTAATACAGAGGCTCAAGAGAGAGACCGTCCCAATGCTGGCCAGGCCACGGGGGTGGGCCAGGCAGGCTGGCAACAAGGCAGCACCAGGAATGAGCCAAAGGGCCTTATATCCATGTTTAGAATTATACATAAACAAAATTCAAATTCATAGATTTATAATCTTCAGGAGATAGTCTTTATCACTATGCTGTTTAGAATAGTGAGAAGGCAATATTTCTAAGCCAGGAATCCCCAGGCTGTTTTTATATTTTCAAATGTCTGTCTCCTCAACAATGTTCTCACTAAGGAATCTTAAAAACATTTGGCTCATGTTTCAGATTTTTTTTTCTTGCGCAATACTGTTCTTCCTGAAAAGTAATAGGTGTAACGGCATTGCTCAAGAGGGTTTTTCTTGCACAAGAAGGGGCAGTGTAGATGCTCCTTGCGCAAGAGCCTCTTCTGAAAAAAATGGTGGCTCATTAGGTATGCAAATGAGGCTCGGCGACATTCCACGCTTAGCCTCATTTGCATATTACTTGCACAAGAAGCCGCAAGTGTAGACATAGCCTGAGTGTGGGATCGTGGGACCACGAGCCTGGGATGTGGGGGGTGGGCCTGGGAGCATGTGACTGGGTGAGACAGGGTGCGTGATATGGTCTGCGTGATGGGTTGTGGGACGGTGTGTTACAGTGTGTGTGACAGGGTATGTGACTGAGTGTGTGAAGAGGTGTGCTGGGGTGGCTATGAAGAGGTGACCGTATGTGATGATCTGTGTGACTAGAAGTGTGTTACGGTGTGTGTGAGACAGGGTGTGACAGTGAGCATATGATGGGGGTGTGACTAAATGTGGTGGAATGTCAGGGAGTGAATGTAACATTGTGACTATGAGTGTGAGATAGTGTGTGTGTGATGGTTTATGTGACCAGGTGTTACATTGTGTAAAGGGGGGTGAGGATGTGTGCAACTATAGGCATATGATAGGGTTTGCGACTGAGCAAGTGATGGGGTGTGACAGTGTGTGTGTGACTGAACATGTGAAAGTGTGTGTGGCTGTGTGTATGTGATGTTTGTGTGTTACAGCGTGCAAGATGGCGTGTGTGACTGTGAACGTGATGGGATGTGACTGAGCAAGTGATTAAGTGTGACAGTGTGTGTGTGTGACAATGTATGTGATGTGGTGTGTGTGACTGTTCATGTGTGATTATTTGTTTGACTTGTTAGAGTGTGCGTGAGATGCGGAGTGTGTGTGACTGAGTGAGTGATGGAGCATAATAGTGTGCACACAACTGTGAGTGCTACTGTGTGCGTTTGTGAGCAGGAGACGAGATGTGTGTGATGGTTTGTGTGACTGTATATTACAATGTGTGTGAGATGGGATGTGATGGGGTGTGTGGCTGAACCCTAATCTAGACGCTCAGATGCTTTGGTGTTGCTCCTTTAGGGGCTCTGTGCCACCCCCTCCCCCCTACGAGGGGAATGGCCCAATCCAGCTTCCTGTGGCACCCCGCCCCCTCGCGCTGCATGGGGCACTGGGGTCGGCCCTGGCTCTGCGGGTACAGTGCTCCAGCCCGACTTGCTGCGATTACTTTTCCTTGAAAAGCTCTGCCCAGAACGGGACCTGCCCCGTCTGGGGATCCTGCAGGATCTCCCCGTGCAGTGTTATTGTCTCATTAATTCACTCCTCTGCCCAGAGCACTTTCCCCGTGTCAAGGGGTGTTGTTAGTGTGTGGGAGGGAGAGAAGCGGGAGGAGGAAGGTGCCGGCGAAGGCTGGGGGGATCATGGGGTGGGGGTTAAGCCTGAGGCCCCCAGTGCTGGTGATGGCCCAGCCTGCTCCAGCAAGTCAGAAAATGGGGGAATCCCCCCCCCCACCACACCACCAATCTCTTTTTGAAATGTTCTGACCTCCTCCATCCAGCCGGAGAGGACGGGGGCAGGGGAAGGGAAGTGTTGCTGCTTCCCCCCAGGGTTGCTCATGTGCCAGTATCAATCACCTCCGTCCCAGTCTGTGGGATGGAGCAGGACGGCAGCTGCCCTGCCCTGAGCCCTGCTGGCTGCACTCCAAGACTGCGGGGGGATTTGAACCCTGAAGGAAGCAGGCAGGCGGGACCGTCGCCAGGATTGTTCCATTTCAGGGCTTGTCGTGGTCTCCTTCTTCCAGGCGTGATTCCGCCACCGTGGGAACGGCTCTCCCAGGCCACCTTCTCTCAAAGCCGTTCCTCAGAAGCTGCTTTTGTGTGACCCTAAAATGGAGCCTGCCCCACTCACCTCAGCTGTCCAGACACCTCTCAGGCTCTCCAGGGAGTGGCATCTTTATACTCCCACCACCAATGTTCCTTCTATTTTCTTCCAACCACATGCAGAATACATTTTGTCACATGCACTCAGATATGTGCTGGTGCGCACCCCCAGGAGAAACTCATGCGGCCAGCTGTGGGTGGTGTGGGTACTCAGTTGGGCGGTATTTGACTTTCTTCTGGGTGGCTAGCCAAGAGTTCAGCTTACAGGGAACGCTGCTCACCACCAATCCCAACCCACTTTTGTGCAGCCATGTAGCAACAGAGGTTTCTTGCTCTTTCCCACAGAACCAGAGGGGGACCAAAACTCTCCCACTCTGGGACATCAGAGCATGCTGAGCTCAGCTAACCCCATCCTCATCCCTCACCTGCCTTCTTTCCTGTGCCTTTTTTTACAGCCCTCAGCTGAGAGTCCCCAGACTGATCAGCTAATTAGCTGCTTATTTCCCAATCAACCTTCCCTAGGGGAACCAATTAGGGCCTTTGGGTACATCCCCATTGCAATTAGACATTTGCAGCTGGCCTGTTCCAGCTGACTTCGGCTCGTAGGTCTCGCACTAAGGGGCAGTGGAATCGTAGTATAGATAATGCCATTCATCTGAAGAATTGTATTGTGCCCATGAAAGCTCATGATACCAGCTACAAGCTTTGTTAGTCTCTAAGGTTCTGTGGAACTATTTGCTGTTTTTTAAGTTTATTCAGTTAGGGCGTGTCTAAACTACATGGCTCCGTCGATGGAGCCATGTAGATTAGGCTGATCGGCAGAGGGAAATGAAGCCGCGATTATTTAAATTTAAATGGCTGCCGCGCTCTGCCGACCAACTGATGATCAGCTATTTGTCGGCAGATCGGGGCAGTCTGGAGGCTCCCGCGCCGACCTGAAAGCCCTTTGTCGACCTCCCCCTTATGCCTCGTGGGATGAGGTTTACCGAGGAGGTCGACAAAGGGCTTTAAGGTCGACAGGGGAGTGTCCAGACTGCCCTGATCTGCCGACAAACAGCTGATCATCAGCTGTTCGGCAGAGCGCGGCAGCCATTTAAATTTAGCCTCCAGCACTGTCACAAGCCTCCCACCTCTGCTCTACCACTAAGGCCTTGTCTACACTGGCATGTTTTGTCACCAAAAACTGCCTTTTGTTGACAAAACAGTGAGAGAGTTTATGCTACACTACGACTTTTGTTGGGAAAAACACCCAGTTCTGGAGACAAAAAACTTCTACTCTGTGACAGACTTTTGTCTTTTCCCCTCCCTTTATTGTTGACAAGAAGCCAGTGTGGACTCTGTAGTTTGTTTTGTGGCGAGAACTGGCTTCCACCAGTATCCTGTAATGCCTGCCCTGATGGCTGTGCTCAGTGTTTTGTGATCTCTGCTGCCCTGCAGACATGAGTCCTTCCCTTTTCAAAACTCCAGGCAGTATCTGACAGCTGAGTGAGCTGCTCTGTTTGCGGAACAAATAAAAAGAGCAAATCATTTGAATGCTCCTGTTCTGCTCTGCTAGAAACACAGCACCGGGCAGACTGTTGCTGCAAGGGGAGGGCTGGAGAGACCGCTGTGCTGCTTTAACATTCCTCAGCACGGAGAGCTCACAGAGCTATTCATGATGCTGCTACTGGCAACTGAGAATGCTGTTGGAGAACTCAGAGAGAATCCCAAGAAGCACAGAGATAAGCTTGTAGATCCATCTCTGTATTAATCATAAATCTCTGTATTAATCATTTTCCTCTGAATGTGGATCATCTTCATATAATCGCTGTATTAACTTTGTCTCAAGTCCTTTTATATAGAAACTAGGTATCTTCATATAGAACACAGAAACTTTGTATTGAGTCTTTTATATTAAGTCTTGGTAGAATAGTTCCTAAAAATTAGTAAGATAAAGAGAATATCTTTGTATCAGAATTGATCTTTCCCCTTTTACTTAATTGATTGCCCTGTTGGGTGAATGAGGTGTGAAGGGATAAGGTGTGGAAGGCAAGCACCACCAGGCAGTTAGAGAGGGGATGGAAGCCAGATCCAAGAACAATGAGACCTGTGAAGTGGGCCCATTGAAAAAAGACTGAACCTATGGATGCGTTGGGAGTCAGCAGCAAGTGCCTGCTTTTGGAAGCCCTCTCATTGAAGATGGAAGTGGCAGCATTAAGACAACACCCAGAAAAAGGCGCCAGAGATGACTAACTGCATACGATGACTCTCACAGATTTTGCATATGCATAAGATGATAGATTTGCATGAGAGGG